AAAATTCTTTACCATTATCCAGGATAGTGAAGAATGCATATACCCCATGACCCAGAAATTCTTCTCATAGGTTTCCACCCCTCAGAAATGCACAAAGATGCTGATTGCAGCATCCTATGCAATGGGAAACAAATGAAGCCCTAAAAGACTATCTAAAGAATGGGTAAATAAGTTATGGTACAGTCAAGTAGTAGAGTATTATACAGTAGTGAAAAATGAATGAACTACAGCTACTTGTATGAATATGGATACATTTTACAGACATAATGTTGGGTGGAAAAAGCAAGTTGCAAAAGAATGTGTACTAAAGATACAATGTATGCAAAGTTTTAAAGCATGCTTACAATACTCTAAGGGTCAGCAAACTCAAGTCTATAGGCCAAATATGATCCACTGTTCATTTTATAAATAAAGCTTTATTGAGACACAGACATGCCCATTCCTTTATGCTTTGTCTTATGGCTGCTTTCATGCTACAGTGGCAGAGCTGAGTGGCTGAAATAGAGACTATGTCGTCTACTAAGACAAAAATATTTACAATGTGGCTGTTTATAGAAAAAGTTTGCTGATCCCTTCTACACAAAGAAATGTGGGGGTATGATAAACATGAAATTTGGGGGCCCAGGAATCTTTGAGAGGAAAGGAAGGCCACCTCCCTTTATCTTCTAAAGTGGATGGTCAGTTCACAGGTGTCTGTAGTATATTACTCTATGTCTGTCTTTAATATTGCATAATAAATTGAGAAAAAATATTCAGTGTTCTGACTGTCCTTGTCTCTAGTTTGCTCAATTGTTATTTCCTGCAGCTATTTAAACAAAGTAAACAGTGCTGTTTGCCAAGGAGCAATGAAAAAAGTTTCCCAACAAGATTCAACAAGGTATGTCCAGACAATGAGCAAACACGGCTTGCTCAGGCACAGGCAGATGTAAAGGGAAATGGCTTTTCATCCACCTGTTATTGTTCAGTGACATGGATATTGTGTGTGTGTGTGTGTGTGTGTGTGTGTGTGTGTGTGTCTGGCTTCTATTGGGACAGGTGACATTTGTTGAGCATTTCTCTTGGGCTGGGCCCTGGTGAGGAAGCCCTTCATCTAGATCAGGATCATGGGCCAAATCTGGCCCACTGCCTGTTTGTGTAAATAAAGTTTTATTGAAACACAGACACACCTATTAGTTTACATATGGGTCTGGCTGGTTTCATGCCACAATGTTAGAGTTGAGTAGTTGTGATAAAGACCATATGGATCACAAAGTAGAAAATATTTACGACCTGGGCCTTTACAGAAGAAGTTAGCCAACCCCTGGTGTAGATGATCTCATTTAATCCTCCCAGCAACCATGAGAGGGGCAGACTTAGTATTACTCCCACTGTATGAATGTGAAAACTGAGGCTTAGGAAGGGGAGGCTGCTCCCTCAGGGTCTTGCATCAGCAACAGGCAGGGGTGGGATGTGAATCCGGGGAGCAGAATTCCCGGACATGCGCTCTTGTCATGTACACTGTATCATCCAGGAGCAGATGCTCCAAAAGTAACTGAGACAGTAAAATAACGTTGCACCAAATTAACTTCCATCTTATGCATGTTTCTTCTGGGACCAGGGCTAATTTTCTCTTTTAGGTGAAAAAGAATATGGCTTCATTTTTCTTGGCTGTCAGCCAAGTGGGATAGCTTATGTGTGACTGTATTCTAAGCCTTCTAGCACAGGAGGGGAAGAAAGTTAGAAAAGATGGCCACACCTGTTGGCCAAGGTCTGTCATAGGTAATCCCTGGGATTTACGGAATGCATACCCAGGCGGCGGAGCCCCGTGGGTGAGGGCTCGGGGTCTGGAGCCAGGCTGCCTGGGCTTAATTCCACCTCTGCCACCAACCAGCTGCGTGACCTTGGGTAAGTTATTTAACCTCTCTGAGACTCTGTTTCTTTATCGCTCAAGGGAAGATAATGAGGTGACCTTCCTCATAGGGTTGAGGTGGGGATTAAAGGAATTAGTGGGCACAAACCAGTGTGAGTGACAGGAAGTCAATGATGGTGACTATGACTAAGCCTGGCCTGATGCCTTGACAGGACATGTCAATTACCTCTAGAGTTGCTCTTGATTCTGTCTACATCTCTCTGTCTGGGGCCATAGCCTCGCGCCAGGCCTCCAACATTTCCTGCTCCAGGCTTCATCCGTCTCCCAATAGGCCTTCCTTCTTCTTTTCCTGATTCCATCTGAGCAGCCTCACCACAGCAGCCAGTGTGATCTTTAAAACCTAGGTTGGGCACAGCGGCTCATGCCTGTCATTGCAGCACTTTGGGAGGCAGAGATAGGACTGCCTGAGGGCAGGAGTTCAAGATCAGCCTAGGCAACACAGTGAGACACCCCCATCTCTACAAAAAAATTTAAAAAAATTAGCCAGGGGACGTACTGCATGTTTGTAGTCCCAGCTACTCAGGAGGGTGAGGCAGGAGGTTTCCTTGAGCCTGCGAAGCAGAGGGTGCAGTGAGCTGTGATTGCTCCATGGCACTCCAGCCTGGAAGACAGAGTCAGACCCTGTCTCCAAAAATAATAAAAATAAGAATAAAATGAAAAAAACCCCCCATCTAAATTGCGTCCTATTACCCACTGCTTATACACCCTCTAGTGGTTTCCAGTCTCACTTGGAACAGAACCCCAAATCCGTCCTGGGCCTCAGAGGCCCTGCCCCTGGCCCACCTCACTCACCTCATCTCCCATCCCACTCCAGCCATCGGTCTTCTCAGAATTGCCAAGTTCCTTCCCATTCCCCGGGGCCGCCCCTCTGCCTGGATGCTCTCCTGTCTGTGCCTACACACGGCCATCTCTCCGTTCTCAGCTGAATTCGCTCCTTATTTAAAAGGCCTTTCCCGGCCCTAGAACCTAAAAGAAGTCTTTGCTTCCTTTATGCCATGCATCATAATTTGAAATTACATATACAGATTTAAAAACTTGGGGCCAGGTACAGTGGCTCCTGCCTGTAATCCCAGAACCTTGGGAGGCCAAGGTGGTGGATCACTTGAGGCCAGGAGTTCGAGACCCGTTTGGCCAACATGGCCAAATCCCACCTCTACAAAAAATCAGCAGGGTGCAGTGGCGCACACCCGTAGTCCCAATTATTTGGGAGGCTGAGGTGGGAGGACCGCTTGACCCTGTTATGTTGAGGTTGCAATGAGCTGTGATGGTGCCATTGCACTTTGGCCTGGGCAACAGAGTGAGATGCTATCTCAAAAAAGAAAATTAAAAAAAAATTTCTATCTGTAGGCCAGAGTTTGCAAACTCAAATGTCTTCATGGAACAGGCAGAGATAATTCAAGGGAGTAACATGGGCTGGGTGAAGACTGTGGCAAACTAAGGCTAAAAGGAAATGTCTGTAGAGGTCTTGTCCACCCAGTGCTGCCCGAGCATCAGTTTTAGACTGTCAGCTCCATGAAGACAGGGCCTGTTCTGCGTTGTTGACCACTGTTTGCCTCACACATGATGTTGAATGAATGAACAAACAGGGCAGAAGAGGAGAGAGGAAAGAAATATAAGAATCAGCCTCTGCACCCCATTCAAGCAGCACTCCTCTCGGTGGGAAGATAAGATGAGCATATTAATTTTACAGTTGATGCAACTGAGGCCTGGAGAGTCAGGGGCAGTGGAGTCAGGCAGGCAGGTCCCTGTCCACCAACCCTATGTCCTTTCCACTGGAGGGCCCGGATTTGGGTGGGCCATAAAGTCATGTGGAGTGGCCATCTGTAGTTTCTTCCTGCCTCCTCCTTTGTGAACCACCCCTTCCTCACCTTCAGATCAGTTGTTTTGGGTAAGGCTGGCCTGACCCCTGGTCCTGCGGGTGGACATGTGGCCAAGTGTGGCCACCTACAGCACGTATCTTCTTGGATGGATGTGGGAGTCCAGTAGAGAAATTCCTGGGACTCTGCAGGAAGTCCTGGACAGGGGGGGCTCTTTTTTGGGGGGCACTGCAGCCTGAAACTGCCAGGGCTGTCTTTGCCACCACAGTGGGAGAGCCTGCCTGACCCAGAGACCCAAGGAAAGGGAAGCAGAGGCCGAGTCCTGATATTATCCCTTGAGGACCTGGACCCAAGCCTGCTTGAAGTCAGTGCCCTAGGATTTTCCAGCTACATAGGCAATAAACTATCTTGTTTCCTCCAGCTGATTAGCTTGGGTTTTTGTCACTTGCTACTAAAAGGGCTTTGGTTAATATATCTGTTAGGAGGGGAGGGAATCGCATGACTCAAAGGCCAGAGGCAAGGGCAGGTGGGCATGGCGGTGAGCCAGGTTTGCAAGTCTTCAGTTCTTCGCAGTAAGATGCGGACAGTCAAGGGCGGGGGGTCTGCTGTTTTTGCCCTGTCCCCCACCACATTCATTTCTCCTTCTTCTGATACTACCACTCTGTTTTCCTTTAAGAAAACTGCCCTCCTTCATAGATCCTTCATAGATCATCCATAGGCTTCCATTTCCTTATCTCCATCACCTTGTTCTCCTTGCCTTGCTATGAGCATTGTCACATGGCCCAACTTGGGCCAATGAGGGCCAATATGGAACTCCTGGGAGAAATGAGCTCTCCTTCCACTGGGTATGCAGAGCTAAAAAGATGAAAACCTTGAGTGGACAGGCACCATCTTTGCCACCAAGCAGGGAGAACTTACTGGGAGCATCTGAAGATGGAAAGAGACTTACTCCTTGTGACGACATTTTAGCACCTAGATCCAGCCATACCCGATGACAGCTTTATCCACAGATCTCTCTGTATGCAAATCATTCAGTTCTGATTTTCCCTAAACCAGCTTGGGTTCAATTTCCAATTCTTGCCATCGAAAGGGGTCTTGATATCGTAGTCTATAGAATTTGAACCATATTTAAAGTGTTACTTCTTTACCTTTATCTGTAATCCAAAATCAGATTGGTTGTGTTTATCAATCCACGTTTAGCTGAGACAATAGTGCAGAACAAAGACCATGATTTGGGGACCCAAGGTGGAGAGTAAGGGTTGTTTGGTACTCACTATAGGAAGGGATTCCATAGGCTTGTGCTGGAGGTGGGTACGCTGTATAGGGGGCAGCCTGCTGGATCCCTGCACTGTACTGTGTCTGGCCGTAGGCTGCCATGGCTGTGGAAGGCTGGCTGGGGAGGACACGTGGGCAAGATCTGTGTGGAAAGAGAGAAGATTAAATCTCCAAGCCCAGTCTGGCAACCCTTCTTCCTTGTCTCGATATGAACACCCCCATTTTTCTTTGAGGATTTACTCTTTCCAGAGCAGAGACAACATACATGTTCGCCAAATTCCATTTCCTTTTCCTCTTCCTGGGAGGCAGGAAGATTATATTTTCTGTCTCCTGCGCAGTCAGATTCAGCCATGTGACTGGGTTCAGCCCAATAGAACATAAGCAGGTATGCTGTAAGCCACTCATAGGCCTGGCCAATAAACACGTCCCCTGCAACCCTCCTGTCCTTTCTCCTTTTTTTCACAGCAACCGTGGAGGGCACAGGTTGAGCTGGCAGAGCCGTAATATGGAAACACCCTGGATCCCTGAGTCAGCTTGTGGAGGAGAGCTGCCCTGGAGGGTTTTACACCATTTACATTGGCCTTTATGTGAGTAAGAAACAAACCTTTATCCTGTGAAGCCACTGAGATGTCAAGGTCTACTGATTACTGCAGCATAGCCTATCCTACCCCGATTGTCCTAATTCAGATACCTTCTCAGTTGACTGCAGCTTTAACAGGGTTGTCAATCAAGATGTCTTGCTCTTAGCTAAGGGGTGGGCACATCATGCAAGATCATCCAATCAGACTCTGTCCTGGGAATTTAAATACTGCATATTGCTTGAACCCCAGAATCTGTCTTATTCTTAATCCCTCTCAAGGCCTGATTATTTCATTTATGTTGTGAGCTACTCCAGATATTCTCTCAAAAGTTCTTTTAGACTTACATCAGCCAGAGTTGATTTCTGTTCCTTGCAACCAAAGAGCACAAATGGATTCCCTACTCCATGGAGAACAACAGGTTCTGTAATGGACTCGGATGTAGAGGGCTTCTTACTAATGATATTTGTACGACATTGTGTGTGTGTGTGTGTGTGTGTGTGTGTGTGTGTGTGTGTGGTTTTTTTTTTTTTTGGACAGAGTTTTTCGCTCTTGTTGCCCAGGCTGGAGTGCAGTGGTGTAATCTCGGCTCACTGCAACCTCTGTCTTCTGGTTTTCAAGCGATTCTCTGCCTCAGCCTCCCGAGGAGCTGGGATTACAGGTACCTATCACCCTGCTCAGCTAATTTTTTGTATTTAGGGAAGAGACGGGGTTTCGCCATGTTGGCCAGGCTGGTCTTGAACTCCTCACCTTGTGGTCTGCTCACCTTGGCCTCCCAAAGTGCTGGGATTACAGGCATGAGCCACCGCGCCTGGCCAGCATTGTGTTTTTAACTCTGGGTTGGGAATTGTGTCACATGCACTTGGTATGTACACTGTATCTCACGGATGCTCATATCAAATCTCTGCAGTGGAGGTTCTTATACCTCCTGGTTTAGAAATGAGGAAACTAAAACTCAGAGAGCTGAAAACAAAGCTAGAAAGGGGTGAATCTAGAGCTTAAACTCAGGAGTCTGACTCCGGAGCCCATGCTTGGAACCACAAATCTGCTATTTCTCACAGGACTGGGATTCATCCAGCCCTGCACGTAGCAATAAATAAAGTTAAAGTGAGTTGTTCTAACACAAAGGGAGCAAAACAGTGGCTCAGGGCCACATTCAGTCCACAGATTCATGGATATAATTTATTTGGCCAGTGAGGTTATTTTTTTTCCTAATTTGAAATTGTTGCTAATATTTGAAAACCAGGAGGTTATATGCATGCGTGCGCGCGCACACACACACGCACGCGCGCACACACACACACACACACACACACACACGCTTGCTTTGTCTCCCTTCTCCTGAAAAGCAGGTGCTTCTGTGCGCCTGGGTCTGCACTCCTGTGCGGTGTTATCAGCTGGATTTGGGCAGCAGCCACCTCTTGAGACTGAATCACACCCTGTCTGCAACAATCCCTACGAGGCCCACTTCCCTTACTGGTAAATGTGTTTAATTCTCATGCCTACATGCCAGGCACTTTCCTATTTACTTCATCCAAACTGGCTCATTTAAATTCCACCACAACTGTGACAAGCCTTGGAGGTAATTTCTGTTTCTATCCCCATTTTACAGGTAAGAAAACAGAGGCAGAGAGAGACTTAATAACATGCCACAAGCACACAGCTGATAGAGCATTTGAATCCTGGCTCCAGAGGTCACACTCTTAACCCCTCCACTATGCCAGCCACCCCTAGACACCACAACTTGACACCATGTTTCTCCTATCTTAACCTGGTTAAACGTACAGCTAAATGTGGATGAGATTCCCCAATCTGTATCTGATTCCATTTTGGTTATGTTATATCACTTTTGTCAAAGCCTGTTTGCTTCCAGAGCTCCTCCTCTACCTGAGGCCCCATAGCAGGTGAATGCAAAAGTTTATGGAATTACAAACAGATGTCCCCACACCCTTCTTTCTTTTTGGCTACTGCCATGATAAAGGGTTGTCTGGGGGAACCTGTTGCAAAATGCATAAGGAACTCTTTGGAGCTGCAGATGTCAGCCCCAACTCTGGAAGGTGTCTCATCCATCAACATTTCATCTCTATGGAACACCTGAGAAGCATGCAACCTGCAGAGCAGAGAACCTGATTTGAAAATGTTCCTAATTCATACCCTTTCTTAGAAGAGAAATAGAAGGTGCAGACCCAAGACAATCAACTCCTGCTTGCCATCAAAACCATTCAAGTGGCTCAGATTAAATGGGGGCTAAAGTTAAAACCCAGAGAGAGGATGGTGGAGCTTTCTAACTCTGAGGCCTTAAAGAAGTTAGGTAGATTTAACAGCCCTCGGTTGCTACTAATACTCCCCAAAGCATCTGGAGGGAAAGGAAGGCTCAGAAAATGTCTTCCTTATAAAGAGCTGCTCCAATGTTGGAAAGAAAGGGAGATTTCAAGATGCTGAGGGACCCACCATCTAGCCTGAGGGGCATGGCACACAGCAGTGGGCTCAGGATGGCTGCTCCCAAGGGCAGCGTCCAGAGGGCTCTGGGCATCACCAGCCCAGCACTGAGCTCCCACTGCCCCAGCGTGTGCCTGTGGTGGAGCATTTATGGTGCCAGGTTGAGATCTCTGATTTACTGGTTTATCTCCCCTACTAGACTAGCTCTCCAAGGACAGAGACTGTGTCTCATCCATCTCTGAGTTTCCAGGGCTAAGTGTGGGGCTAGGCACTGAGGAGTGACATGTAAATGGCAGAGGAGGAAGAAAGGACACATGCATGCATATGTTCATTGCAGCACAATTTACAATAGCAAAGACATGGAATCAACCCAAATGCCCATCAATGGTAGACTGAATAAAGAAAATGTGGTTCATATACACCATGGAATATTCTGCAATCATAAAAAGGAACAAGATCATGTCCTTTGCAGGGATACAGATGAAGCTGGAAGCCCTTATCTTCAGCAAACTAACGCAGGAACAGAAAACCAAACACTGCATGTTCTCACTTATAAGTGGGAGCTGAACAATGAGAACACATGGACACAGGGAGGGGTACGACACACACTGGGGCCTGTTGGGGGAGGGCAGGCAGGTGGGAGAGCATTAGGAAGAATAGCTAATGCATGCCGAGCTTAATACCTAGGTGATGGGTTGATAGGTTTAACAAACCACCATGGCACATGTTTACCTAAGTAACAAACCTGCATGACCTGCACATGTATCCTGGAACTTAAAATAAATGATGAAAGGAGGGAAGGGAAAAGGGAGAGAGAGGTGGAGAGAACAGGGTGGAGGAGAGAAGGGTAGGAAAGAGAGGAAGGGAAAGAGAAAAAGGGAGAGAGAAATGAGAGAAAGAAGGGAGATTGAAAAGAAGGGAAAGGAAAGAAATGAGGAAAGAAAAGAGAAAGACGGGAGGAAAAGGGAGGGAGAAATTCCCTTTCCATGGGAAAGGAGAGGAAGGAGAGAAAGAAAAGAATTTAAAAAAATGAAGAAAAGACAGAAGAAAATAATAGCTAAGACTCTCAGGACGCTCTGCTCCAGGCCCCATTCTCAGTGTGTTTTACCTGCTTTTTCTCATTTCCTGGGGGCAGGCAGCATGACTGTTGCCCTCTCCCAGATGGGAAGACTCAGGCCCAGGGAGGTGGAGAGACTTGCTCAAGCTCACTCAGCTAGGAAGTGCTGGAGCTGGGATTCCTATCCAGGGAGTCTGGCTCCAGAGCCCTGTCTCTTAACCTCTACCTTCCAAGAGAGAAGAAAAGGAGCATGTGAGCAGTAGACAAGTGAATGGTACTCACCTTGAGAAGAGCTGGGACACTCTCAGGGGGGCTGATTTGGTGATGCCTGGAGGAGAAAAAGAAAAATTATAAGGCTTTTAGTGATTAGGGTGATGTTCTGCAGAAATAGTGACTTCAGACACCACTTAAACAGGAGCAGACGTGAAGGGGTGCTGTCTGGGGCTTTCTCTGCCACAGATGCTTATCTGAGGTGCCACATCTCATCATTCTTCTTATTGAGGGGTTCAGAGCCCTTTCTGGGTGTGCTTCGTCTCTGGGCACTTAATGAAAAATGACATATAAAGAATCCATAGCAACTTGAAACGTCAGAGTAAAGTCCATTTCTCCATCCATTGCACAGATGGAGAAACTGAGGCCAGAGAGACAGAAAGGATGTGCTTGAGCCAGGCCACATGACTGGGCAGCAGCACAGCTGGGAAGTGAATCAAGGTGGTGCCATTTCCACTTCTGGGTGGAAAACCACTCCCTTCCCTGTCACAAAAGCAACCCCCAAGAACCCCAGAATGGCAGACACGGTTGGCTTTGTTCATCCAACATCCATTTCCCTATTTCTAATAACACTGCTTTGATGTTCTTCTCGTTTCCTCACTTCCAGTCTATGGGGTGCAGGTGGGGCTGGCCCCAACACTTTAGGGAAAGCAACCTCTTGGATCATCTCCTAAGCTCCATCTGTGGTGGTAGAGCAGAGAGATGGATGATGCCTGAGCTCCTGATGCAAGTACCTTACACCCAATCACTCGGCACGGAATGTCCAATCATCGATGGGAGGCAATATGCAGGGAGTGACGAAGAGGTGACAGAGTTAAGCTGGGAGAGACGTTTGCCAGAGGAACATTTTACATAGGGAAGCATTTTTGTGCTCCGTCATCTTGAACGAAGCAACTCAATGTCCTCACTGCAGAGTCCTTGACAAATTCCAGATAATGTGTCTACTGATGGCAACAGCATCTACCGGCCAATGCCCACTCCCTGTTCTGTAGGGCAGTGGCGGGTCGTCCTCGTACCCTGAGACCACGGAGCTCCGAGCCTGCCTCAGTCTCTGCGCTGGAGGCTCAGGAGACCAATGTGCACTTCTAACTCTGCCACTTCCTAGCTAGGAGACTTCGGGCAGGTTGGCTAGACCTCTTGGCCGCAGAGCTCCCCCCTGTGCAATGGGATGAAAATACTTATCTTGCAAGGACAGGAAAGGATTACATGAGATGATGCTGACAGCCATCATTTACCGGGGCTTGTCATGTGCCAAGCTCTCCTCTAAATACTTTACCTGGATTAATTATTTTAATCCTCGTAACCACCCTATGAGAAAGGTTCTATTCTCATCCTCAGATGAACAGCTGTAGGCACAGAGAACTTAAGTAACTCACCCAGGGCCACACAGGAAGTACATACAGGGTGAATCTGTGATCTGAGCCCAGGTGGTTTGGCTCTAGAGTCTGTCTTCTCAACCGTGACACTATAGCTGACGACGACAGTCATTGTCATAAGAGCAAACGGCATTCACTTAGAGTTTGACTATGTGCCAGGCCCATGTTAACTGCTTTTAGACAGGCTCTCATTGAGTCCTCACAACAGTGCTCTGGGCACGTAACACCATTAACCCCATTGTACAGATGAAGAAACTGAGGCTCCAAAGGTCAAGTGCCTTGTTCAAGTCATATAGCTGTGGGCAAGGGAACTGGGGCCTGAACCCAAGGGCTGCATGAATCCAAGGTCAATACTCTGAATCCCCTCCTCCTGGCTGAGCCAAATTCTCTTCAAGTCCCAAACCACTGAGGGTGGGGCAGAGGTGGTGGTCTTGAAGTTCATTTACAGAGTCATAACTGGAATTAAGAAAAGGAGAATTGCCTGTTGTATGGTGTATGATGTCAGCATGTATTACCCATAGTTAGAAGGAATTGTGTGACATGTTGGTTGCAGGTACAGGTGTGACAATGTGTTGTGTGTGTATGCATGTGCATTCAACAATGCAGAAACAGATTTCTTATTAGGTATCACATTCAAAGCAAAGGTTAGAACAGCAGCAGCCTAACGTCAAGGAAAGCCCCTGGCATACAGTAGGTGCTCACGCAATGCTGATTTCCCTACCCTGGGTTTGCTCCCAGGCAAGGTGTCCTGTACCGCACCGCCCCTTCTTCATCCTTCCCCAGGGCTCAAGAATGAACTCATTCTGAAGCAGTCACAGTCTCATTACTCGCAAAAGCCCATGACTTGAGTGCATTTAGTACTATATAAGTTACTGAATTAAACATTTTGAATGTTTTCTTTCATAAATATGTAAATATTCATAAAAATCGAAATCTATGGGAACAACATTCCTATGGGCGCGAATTAACTTGGCACTCCATAAATTGGAGGTAAGCGTCTTTTCTGCCAGTCTCCATGGCATGATTTGCATGTTTGCCTCACCCAGCTCCCTTTTCAAGCTTCCACCCAGTTCCTCTGAATTGTTGAGCAACCTGCCCTCCCCAGCAGACAGGTTCCCCTCCCCTAGTACACAGACCTGTAATACTCTCCCTTTCCCACCCCAGCAACCCCAGGAAGACTGCAAGTGAGGAACAGGCATTTATAAGTGCAAAGAGATTTTCCTTCGGCAATTGTGTGATTTTTGAAAAGCACAGGCTTTTTTTTTTTTTTTTTTTTTTTTTTTCTGTTTTCTACTGGTATCAACCACATTTAACCTTTTCATTCCAGGATACCTGAGGGAATTGAGAAACCGGAGAGTGAGCGTATTAAGCTGTATGTGAAATGATCTCCTTCCTCCCTTTCTGCTTCTTTTCTCCATGGTCAGGTTGGTGTAGACTTCATTGATAATCCTTACGTAAGGCAGGGCTTTCTAAGCTCCTTCCCTCCTTTGAGAGTCCAGGATGGGACAGTGTCAAGGGTGGAGCTTCTCAGTGCTTTGGTGCAGAGGTGGGCAGGGACTGCCCAGGAGCAGAGAGCACTTTTCTTCTTGTGCGCTTGCTGGTGGTCCAGAGCTGTTAGTCTCTAGTCTCTTAGTCTCCATCGAGGGTGGTGGAGCAGAGAGATGGATGCAACTCCATCTATCTGGATGGATGGATGGATGAGAACCTCTGCCTCTGACTCAGAGGTCACGTGGACCAGGAAGTCCACCCTGCAGTTGTTGTGGCCAAACATCATCATGGAACCAGAAAATAGGCTTGACTAACTAGTGGCTGTGTGCAATGCCAGCCCCAGTGTGACAGGTGGAGAAGTAGGCATCACTGTTACAGCTGCAAGCAACAACGTGGTCTTCAGTGTAGCCTACAATGTCTTTCAATGATCCCTAGGTACCTGCATCACAATTTTCTTGATGTCACTGTGCTTAACAGCTTTTTCCAGAAGGCAGGTTGGATCCCGGACAGACACACTGAGGGTGGGGACAAGATTGTGTCAGCAATCTTCCCATTCAGCTCAGGAATGACCTCCCCACAGCCTTGACAGTGCCACTGAATGCAGTGCCACTGAATACACTCTGAACAGTCCCATGGCCATCACAGCACAGCTTGCCAGAGGGGCAGAGAGGGCACAGGCAGTGGTCCTGAGTACCTTTATGGTGCCTGGTTGTCACAGATCTTTCTGAGGAGACAAGCAGATGGCATGCTGGAAATCTAGACAAAGTAGGTCACCCCCATCTCAAACATGGACCAGCAGCACAAGGGACAGAGATGATGCCTCCTTTGATGCCACTCTTCAGATGAGCCCCAAGCATCTCCAGGGTGATGAAGGCACCTTGTTTGGTGGCAGCAATGCCCCCTTTGGGATCTGGTGCCTGGCAGATGGAGGTGGACTTCCCAGTGATCATAGCTTTCTGTTTTCAGCTTTGTTGGTGCCATTGAACTTGCCATGATGGATTCATATTGGACCATGTAGGTGATGGGGTCAAGGTCAGTGGAGGAGTTGTTGATGGCAACTTAGGTCCACTTTGCTGGTAGCGAATGCAGCTCTAATGACCTGGCACCCAAAAGAGCCAACTCTGTTTGCTCTAAGCTTTGCCCCTTCTTCATCCTCACTCAGGGCTTGAAAATGAACCCACAGGATGAAGGGGCTGTGACTGATGCATAATGGGGCAGCTGACTCTCAAGTAAGGAGGGCAGAGTGCCTCCTCTATTTCCTTCTGAATTTTAAACTCTAAGCCTTCTCTTCTTCTCAAGCTTCCTGTGGGTGAGGAGAGAGGAATCAGCCGAGCAGACGGCAACAACCTCTGGGCTGAGCTCATTCATTCATTCATTCATTCACTCGTTGCCAGGCATGAGTTCAGAACTGGGTTACAACAGTGAGTGTAATCCCCAGTGTTGGAGGAGGTCCCTGGTGGGAGGTAACTGAATCATGGGGGTGGATTTTCCCCTGGCTGTTCTCATGATAGTGAATGAGTTCTTACAAAAATTGTTTAAAAGTGGGTGGCACCTGCCATTCCTCTCTCTTCCTCCTGCTCCAGCCATGTAAGCTGTGCCTGCTTCCCCTTCGCCTTCCACCATGATTGTCAGTTTCCTGAGGCCTCCCCAGCCATGCTTCCTGTACAGCCTGTGGAACTGTAAGCCAATTAAAACTCTTTTCTTTATAAATTACCCAGTTTCAGGTATTTCTTTATGGCAGTGCGAGAATGGACTAATATAGTGAGCCAAGGTAGTCAGGGTCCCTGTCTTTAGGGAGCCGAAGCCTCCTGTCTAGTGAGCGAGATGGACGGCAAACAAATAATCACACAAATGAGTACTTAACTGCAGTTATAACGAAGTGCAAAGGAAGCAAGTGAATGTTAGAGACCAGTGCACCTGGAACCAGGATTCACCTGGGGATTTTGTTAAAACACAGGCTCTGATTGTTGGTCAAGGAAACCTCCAGGTGATGTTGATGCTGCAGGTTCACAAACCACACTTTGGGGAGTGAGAGTTTAGACCACTGGCTAATGCAAAACTGTGCATTACTAAGCATGATCACAATTTGGGGTTCATAAAAAGAAATCTCCATTCCAGAAGACACAAACTCAAGTGCATATTGGGGCCACGAGGATAATATAAATGTGCAAAGCAAAAGATCCAGCTCGAAGAG